GCACTCTTCGTATGCCTCAGCAACATCTTGCGCTTCAGTATTCAGCAAGGATTTGGACATGACGTTTCCTGGGAATTGATCTTGGAACAGGAACAAGTAGGTATTTCCACGATCGGACTCAGGTAGCTTGACAAAATCCATAGAGACCACCTCGAACGGATATCTCGGTTCGATATTCCCAGGTGACGGATCGAGAACCGGTGGTCGCCCCTTGGCTGACGCGCAGTCTACGCATTTTCTCACGAGTTTCTGTACATCAGCGTACATCCCGATCCAGTAGAACTCTGAACGCAATCGCTCAAATGTCCTGTTGAACCCTTGGTGTCCACCTTGGAAGTCCTCGTGCGAGTAATGTAACAATGTCGGCACGTAACGTCTCTGGGGTTACTAACCTGAGTTCCGACTGCTTGTTGCGAGGTCTCTCAGGCGTGGGTGTACTCAGCCTGTAGAGGACTTTTCGCAAATCCAAAACAAACTGATCGAAGACCTTTGCAATCTTCTTGACCTGGTTCCGTGGAAGATCTGACACATCTCCTTTTAGGACATTCTTCATTTACTGAATCCACAAGTCTTCGTCTTGGCGAACTTTAATTCTCTTCCAACGTTCATCTTGGTATCCAGACTGGTCTACAGGGGTCCGAGAACCTACGCCCGTTTCTATTCGTGACCTCGTCATCACCATCAATGCTTCAGCAGCAGTAGCTAAGGACTCTGGTATTCCGACATCAGGACTATCCGCTCCGAGTCTGACTTGGTCTGAACGAACTGCGTCGGTCGCAGGGATACTTGGAAGTTCTGAAGGCCTCATGATCTTTTCAGGGATCCTTGATACGAGACGTAGATGCACTATCTCATGGGGGTCATTGAGTTCCCAGGATTCTTCGAGCACAAGAGTCTTAGAGGTCAGGTAGTCAGCCGCTTGGTTAAACTCACGTTTGACATGAATCCATTTAACTGACACGAAATCCTTCCTGAGATCTTCATACTCAGCTAAACGTCGTTGCAGGTTGGGCTGGTTGGAATTGATCAGACCCTGAGCCTGCTGAACGACGATTCGAGAATCACCGACTGCCACAAGCTCCTTGACATCGTACTTCATAGCGAGCTTTAATCCCCGAATCAAACCATAGTATTCAGCGCCGTTGACCGTCACACCTTCAAGGACGTGTCCCTCAGCTTTCACAACCTGCCATCCTGGCAACTTCCACAGTATGCATCCACAACTTCCTCGGCGAGTGGAAACATTCGCAGCGCCATCAAATCTCAGAACGTAGCCTTGGCAATCTGCTTCCAACATTTCTAGACTCACTGGTGGCATCACTTTCAGACGCCCCTTGGCGGGAATCAGGGTTTCTGCAACTTCATCTAAATGTTCTCTGGGAGCAATTCCAGACCCAAGGATAGCCGCAAGGCCGTCCTCATCTTTCTGAGTCCGATGGATTTCCAGTGTCCATCTTGATAGTTCCAGCCCCCACTTCAGATGTCGTCCATCTGTAGTGTTGGATTGTAGTAACCACTTTAGTACAGAGTAGCGCAAGATTGCGAGCATTTCCTTTTCAGCTATGTGGTAACGTAGCTCTGATTCCTTCAACACTCTATCCATAAATCACACGGGATGTATGAGTCCTTCATGCTCCTGACCCAAAACCGCACACGCTGCCCACAGGTTGGCATGCGGAATTATCACGAAAGGATTGGTTCTATCTGGATGTCGCAACATCGGGGTCGACACGATCTTACGTTTCAGTATCTCGAAAGACTCCTTTGCGGCTTCGAGGTTCCGTCCAGCACGTACACGTTCTTCGTCTAGTTCGTAGAGCACAGCGGCAACTACACGTAAGCCTTCAATAAACTTGTTATAATAATTCAGACTTCCTAAGAAGGACTGCACTCCCTTGTAGGTCGAAGGGAACGGTAGATCCTCTATGCCTTTGACAATCTTCGGCAAGGCCCTGATTCCGTCCGCACTCACTTCATGAGAGAGAAATTGGATGATCAACTTACCGAATTCACTTTTTGGTAAGGCACAGAGATATTCCACTATCGTAGTCTGTGTAACAGCGCATCCAGGCCTTCACATAATTGGTCCCAGGTCGACGCCCCATGGGCGATATCGTCAATATACGAGCTTCTTTTGAAGACCGGGCCCATTTGTGACGGAGCCGGGATATTGCGTCGAAATACAGTCATGTCCAATGCTGTGGTCTCTAAATCCCGCATATCTACCTCAGGTTTCAGGACCTCTTGCGGCTCAAGATTAAAAACCTCTAGAACTTCTTGGTCAACCAACGCTTCCTCTTCAGGAGGCAGACGGACGAATCCCCACAGACAGTTATTGATGATGCTCTGTTAAATTACCGGTGCATTCTTCAATCCAAAGGGAATTCTGAGCCATTTAAAATGGTCGAACGGGCAAACCAATGCAGAGATCAGCGTCGCACGTTCAGTCATTCGCACCGCCCAGAATCCGCTCGCCATGTCGAG